ATTCTATAGCACTGTTAGGTCATAGTTACATACAGAAGTCTGCATGCCTTAAAATCGTACAGAAACGTGTACATATTACGCAGTACTGCATAAATCCCGTTAGGGTATACCATCAGGTAGAAACCATCACGCTCTACAATGAATAGACGATCAGACAAAACAAATAAACGTTAGAGTCACACATAGCATTGCACACAAACACACCCACACAATATCACACACGAAAAGAAAACAAGCATATGCAAACACAGTGTACAAGCACTCACATACCTAACGGTGAGCAAATCACGCGATTTGGTACCTGAGTGTTTAGTGAGCAGACCTTTGAACAAATAGAGTAATAAGTTAGATATAAGTTGGTTCTAAGTTGCGCATAAGTAGGGTCATGCAAGTCGTAACTGAGATTGCGACTGCAGCCAACCTAAGCTAAGCATACACATAAGCATAGGACCTCAAAACGCATGTAAACACATAGAACATGTTGGCAAGAGGACAAGCGAGCGAGACTCAGGCTATAAAAGAACAGCGCATCGCAAAGACTCTTTCATTTTTGTGTCATAGCCGTCCAGGTAAGTACCCTCAGACAGATTATCAAGTGACGAAGAAGTTTTTTTTTGACTTTACGGATAGGGGATGCGCTGGTTAGTATTAATCGCCATCCCTGAAGGACTTACAGGATAATCGACTTTACGGATAGGGGATGCGCTGGTTAGTATTAATCACCATCCCTGAAGGACTTATAGGATAATTGACTTGACGGATAGGGGATGCGCTGGTTAGTATTAATCGCCATCTCGCTGGTTCCTTTTCCTTGCCCCAGCCATTTCATACTTCCGTCCAGTAAAGAGGAACCAATAAAGCTAAGAGATCATAACACCATTCTCCCCCGAAGGGCCTGATTATTTATTAAAAATTTTCTTGCAACGGATCCTGGATTGACTGGGTATACCCCGCCTAAGGAAACTCGTTACAATAGCATAAACGTGAAAATTGTCAATCTGAACGAACGAATTCCCTTGTTTAGTTGATCCAATTGTGAACCATGGAAAATTCAAACAAAAGCAGTTCTTCAAAAGGCAAAATTGCTGATATTTGTGTTTGGTGAAGAAAATAAACCGAAAGTTCCAGATTTAACAGAATTCTCAGCAACGGCGCAGCGAACTGAATATGCAAAATGAATATGCAAAATGCTTGAAGGAACCTTGATGAATTGGCGTTGGACGCTCATTAGAAAACTCTTATATCCGAGAAACCAAATAAAGCAAGAATGGTAAGAAATTTTTAAACGACCGGAAAAATTTGGAAATATTTGCAAGAAAAATATGACTGCAAGTTTACCAGGCGCAAAGATGAATATGTCCGTAAGTTCCTCATTCTGATAATGTCTAATATCTAAA